GACTGAGCCACAGTTACCCCTGCTTTTCCTACTTTGATCTTGGCTAGGACATTTCTTATCTCTGTGCCTTAGTTGTCTCATCTGTAAAATGGGAGCTGGAAGGGATGTTAGAGATCATCTAAGCTGTTAAACCTTTCTTAAGTATAAAACAATGAGTATTCCTTTAGTCTGAAGTAAGGATGAGAGGTCTTCTGGTTCCCCACCTGCCTTCCATCTGACCCTCTCCAGTCTTTGAGGCATTAGAGCCACTAGGATTCTGACACACATATTTGAGGACCTTTAGTATTACCCATTGCATCATTTTACAAATGAAGGAACTGATTCGTTCCCCTTTACCTAACTCAAAGGATTGTTGTGTCTCAAATGAGAATAGCTTAATAATAGTAGAGTGCCACCAAATATAAGGTGGTTTTGTTATTGCTTGCAATGTATTTATTTATATTCTGGAAGTTCCAGGATGAGGCACTGCTGGCTAAGGCCTATGTAAAGTTAGAGTTTTGTTTTGGCAAATAGGATTGATGCAAATGGGGTGAACATTATTTCTCCTTTATTCTCCATCTTCACGTAGTTGGTACTATTAGCCCCACAGTTTGCATTTCTCCTTTCTTTAATCTTGTTTAGCTATAAATATGTAAATTCACTCTTCAGACAGGAATTTGATACATTATGTGGTAGTGTTTTTAGCAATTACAAATGCCATCTGACTGTTGTTTCTTTTGCCTTTTTTCCCTTTTTTTTTAATTAAAAGAAAATTATTTCTGAGAGAGAGAGAGAGACAGCGTGAGCAGGGGAGGGTCAGAGAGAGAGGGAGACATAGAGTCTAAAACAGGCTCCAGGCTCTGAGCTGGCTGTCAGCACAGAACCTGACGTGGGGCTCGAACTCACGAACCACGAGATCATGACCTGAGCCGAAGTCAGACGCTTAACCGACTGAGCCACCCAGGCGCCCCCTTTATTCCCTTCTTAAATAAGATATAGCTACCTTACGTAAGTAAGTACTTAATTTGTGAAATGAAGTGTATTGTCTTATGATTACTCAGAGTATAATACCTAAATGTTTTCTCTGATAGTTTAACTTAGTTTAGAATTGCCAGTTTAGGGGCGCCTGGGTGGCTTAGTCGGTTAAGCATCCGACTTTCGCTTAGGTCATGATCTCGCGGTTCGTGGGTTCGAGCCCCGCGTCGGGCCCTGTGCTGACTGCCAGCTCGGAGCCTGGAGCCTGTTTCAGTCTGTGACTCCCTCTCTCTCTGACCCTCCCCTGCTCACGCTGTCTCTCTCTCTCTCCTAGAAATAAATAAAACATTAAAAAAAATTTAAAAAAAAAAGAATTGCCAGTTTAGCATTGTCCTCTTGGGTGTGGATAAGGGGTTTTTAATGTATTAAAAAATCAGAGTCTTTCTAAAAAATGGAGTCATTAATAGCAAGGCCTATGTAGCCAATCAGTTATCTTCTAGAAGAAATGAATTTTGATAATTATTTTATTTGAGAATTGCTTTGGATTAACATAGCTCCTCATTTGTATAGTATCTTAAACATTCAACAAAACAGAATGAAAACAGCATTTTAAAAATCAAATGTTTGAAACACCTAAGTATTGGTTTTAGGCTGTGTCAGATCTGAAGTATCCTTAATATGCCCATTGCCCACACAGGTAGAAATGTACATGCTTTTTTAAAAAGAATTATTTTATCACATAGCTTTTAATATATACTTGAATCCTAGGGCACCTGAGTGGCTCAGTTGGTTAAGTGTCTGACTTCGGCTCAGGTCATGATCTCCTGGCTTTTGAGTTCTAGTCCCGCTTTGGGCTCTGTGCTGATGGCTTGAAGCTTGGAGGCTGCTTCGGATTCTGTGTCTCTGTGTCTGTCTCTGCCTCTCCCCTACTCTCTCTCCCAAAAACAAATAAACATTCTAAAAAAGTAAAAAAAAAAAATATATATATATATATATACTTGACTCTGTGGTAAAGCACAAAAATAAGCATTTGAAAGTATAATAAACCTTGTAAGGGCAGGTATGGGTGAAAGGCTAATATACAGATGAATTTACATGATCTGTTAACAAGTTTGGTTGATAATATCCAAAGGGTTTTTTTCCTTTATTTGTTTGCAAATGAAGGTTCCTCCACGGGCAGAAGAAATTACCATCCCAGCTGATGTCACCCCTGAGAGAGTTCCTACACACATCGTAGATTACTCAGGTAATGCGTATCCTCTTGCGGGTGAGGCTGTACGGTTCATTTAATAGTTCTCCCAAAAGGTGTTCAAAGATAGGTGTTCCTTTTTCTCTAGCAGTAAACAATCATTTATTCTTCTTATCTCATTTGTATCTCCCCCCACCCCCCACCCCACATAAAGCCTCCATCTTGCAGCTTTCTGTCCCAAATTTACTAAGTTGGGTTTCATAAAAATGAAAAGCAAGTAGAGATGGTAAACGACAAGTAGTAGATAAATCATTACCCTCCTTGAATTAGCATGTTTGCAGAGGTGAGTTCTGGATTAGTTTTGTTATCAGGCATGTAGAAAGAGTTCTGAATTTGAGAATTTGTTGACTTCTAAATTCATTCTTTAATTTATCAGCCTTTATCCCCTTCCCCAAATAATAGTTAAAGCAGTTGTCAGCTTGTTTACATTATATGATAATAGAAGCACATTTGTGTCACTTAATAATTTTAATTTTTTTTACCCACTAGTACTTACTTTTTTTAATTGTTTCTTTTTTTAATGTTTATTTATTTATTTTGAGAGTAAGAGCACAGCCGGGGGAGGGGCAGAGAGAGAGGGGGACAGAGGATCTCTAGCGCCGGCTCTGCACTGAGAGCACAAAGTCCGATGTGGGGCTCAAAGTCATGAACCGTGAGGTCGTGACCTGAGCTCAAGTCAGACACTTAACTAACTGAACCACCCAGGCACCCCTAGTACTTATTTTTTTTTTTTAATGTTTATTTTTTGAAAGAGAGTGTGCAAGAGCAGAGCATGAATCGGGGAGGGGCAGAGAGAGGGAAACAGAACCTGAAGCGGGCTCCAGATTGAGCCTGTCAGCACAGAGCCCAACGTGGGGCTCGAACTCACCAACCATGAGATCATGACCTGAGCTGAAGTCAGATGCTTAACCAACTGAGCCACCCCGGTGCCCCTCTAGTACTTACTTTTTTTTTTTTTTAATGTTTTATTTATTTCTAGGAG